AGAGCTGGCCCTCCAGGGCCAATCTCTTCGCCTCCGGCTCTGCTTCCCAGGGTGCTGTGGGGACAGTGGTCAGGGCAGCAGGAGATAAATATCAGCAATACTCAGGAGGTGGGTGGGTCTCCTCCTCCCACATCCCTTCCAGACCCGCCCTAGGAAGCCCTCCCCTCCCCCGGCCTGGGGCTCACAGCCAGGGTGGAGGGGGATCTGGAGCGTCCTTCCCCCGCCAGGACCCGGAAATCTCCACTTCTTTCCCAGAAGAGGAAAGCTCCATTGTTTCTCCTTCCGAGGGGCCAGGTTGTTCCAGGAAGGATGTGTGCTTCCCTTTGAAGTCTGAATTCACTTCTTTTTTAGTAAGGAAGGATCAGAGCACCGGGAATCCCAATGACTCTGACATCCATTAAGATGGATCACCAAGCTAGTCTCCAAAGAGAATGGACTGGCCACCCTGGGGAGCACCTAGGGTTACGCTGAGAGGAGCCGGGTGAATGACACAACCCCTTGGATGTGTGTGGGGACCCCACCCACCAGCTCCTGCGCAGCTGGTCCTCCATTCAGAGTCCACTGCCTGCCCTGTGGGACACTCACGATCCCCTTGCTTTCTCTGGACCTTGGACGCCTTGTCAACTCTTTGTCAGGAGTTAGACTTGCCCAGCAGTTTACAAACACACCTTTGTCTTCCTCGCTGTAGCAGTGCCTGGGAACCACACATGTAAACTGTGAAAGGAAACCGGCTTCCACGTGGCGGGGGAGGGCTCCCCGTGGGTCCCCGCCCCCTCTCCTTGAGCGCGCTCCATGGAGTCTCAATTCCGGAACCCTTCCCCGGTGAAAAGAACTCCACCCTGTTGTGCCCTTGGCTGAGCATAGGAACAGTCCCTATTCCAGCGGGCACAGGCCTAACCCTTGGCACACTAACTCAGTTAACCCTCTCGACAGCGGTGGTCCTTACACACGGAAGTCATTTGCTCAGTTACAGCTGAGAAGAACATAGGGTTCGAGGCCAGGCCAGCTCCTTCCCCACGCCGCCTGGCTCCCTGGCCCAGGCCCCTTGCCCTGCCCCAGGCAGGTCCAGATTAAGTAACAAGGGGGTGAGGCAACTACTCCCACAGGGATTAGAGAATAAAAGGCTTCTGGCTGGCCGAGCCTTGAGACAAAGGGGGAGGGAGCGTGCGGGTTCTGGGTCCCCACCAAGGTGGAAGCTCATTACGGAGGCTGGGAGTGTGTGCCCGCAGCTCCCGGCCCAGCCACACACATGCTCTGGCAGCACACTTCACACGGGCCCTCATTAGGCAGCAAGCCCGCTGCGGCTTCATCACGGGCAGTTCAAGAGCAAAGCATGGGCTCAGCCTCCCCGGCCCTCACTGGAGCCACGGGCCGGCTGCAGCCCTTGCGCAGGCTCTGTGCTAATGACGCACCTCTTAGAGACCTGGGGCTGGAAGGAAGCCTGGCAGGACGGAGAGCCCTCAGGCACCAACTATACTTCAATGAGCAGTTGTTTACCGCAAAGCACCCATGTGCCGGGCACTGGGTCTGGTGGTCGTGGGGACTCAGAGGTGACATCCCTGGACGACAAGCATTTTGTGGGTTTAAAGGACTGGTTCAGTCGGCTAGAAAACCATGTCCTTGTACCCCACACACCCGTCTTTGCAAGGACCGGGGATGAGTTGATGCACAGCTTGGCACCAATGGCATTGCCCTGGGCAAGTCTCCCCTGCTCACACACTGTCCTCCCTGCTTGGAGAGGTGCATTCCTAGAGACGTTCCTTCTGGACTGATTCAGCATCACCTCTTCCAGGACACCTCCTGGCAGGCGTCGGCAGGTGGGAGCCCATCCTCCGGGCTCCATGAATCTGTGTGCCTGCCCCCCCCCTGCATTCTGCCCGCCCACTTCCTGAGCCTGTGTCCCTGTCTGCTCCCCCAGCCCGCACTGGAACCACAGGGCGCTGACCTAACATTGCGGGTGGAGCTGGCCCTCTCGGGGCTGTAGTTACTTCTACTAAATGAGGGGCCCGACGGATGATGGGATGATGAGGTTGCCGACAGAAACTGACCAGGTGACATTCGGTGCACCTGGAAGGGGGCTCCTGGCAGACACGCGTTTCCAGAGTGGGGTGATCTCCAGGCAGTTCCTGATCAGCTTTGAAGTAGATGCTGCTTTTCCTGGGGAGTCGTGGGGGAGCCTGGATTATTGGGTTCCAGGTAAGACTGGCGACCCCAGAGCTTTGGTTACACTCACCCTGAGAACCTCTAGGCTCAAATCCAAGAAAGAGTAACAAATCGGCTTTGGGCCTCAACAGACTTGGAGTCCATGCCTGAGTGGATCACTCGCAGGTGGTGCATGTCTTCCCGAGCTTACTTCCTGAGCGTAATCCGCACCTCTGAAGGAGGCACTGAGGATTGCTTCGGTGAGACAGGGCACGTCGGTGAGGCAGGGCACGTCGGTGAGGCAGGGCACGTCGGTGAGATAGGACACGTCGGTGAGCAGGACACGTCGGTGAGGCAGGGCACGTCGGTGAGACAGGACACGTCGGTGAGGCAGGACACGTCGGTGAGACAGGACACGTCGGTGAGACAGGGCACGTCGGTGAGGCAGGGCACGTCGGTGAGGCAGGGCACGTCGGTGAGGCAGGGCACGTCGGTGAGGCAGGACACGTCGGTGAGATAGAACACGTCGGTGAGATAGAACACGTCGGTGAGGCGGGACACGTCGGTGAGGCGGGACATGTCGGTGAGACGGGGCACGTCGGTGAGGCGGGGCACGTCGGTGAGGCGGGGCACGTCGGTGAGGCGGGGCACGTCGGTGAGGCAGGACACGTCGGTGAGATAGAACACGTCGGTGAGATAGAACACGTCGGTGAGGCGGGACACGTCGGTGAGGCGGGACATGTCGGTGAGGCGGGGCACGTCGGTGAGACGGGGCACGTCGGTGAGGCGGGGCACGTCGGTGAGGCGGGGCACGTCGGTGAGATAGAACACGTCAGTGAGGCAGGACACGTCGGTGAGACGGGGCACGTCGGTGAGGCGGGGCACGTCGGTGAGGCGGGGCACGTCGGTGAGGCAGGACACGTCGGTGAGATAGAACACGTCGGTGAGATAGAACACGTCGGTGAGGCAGGACACGTCGGTGAGGCGGGGCACGTCGGTGAGACAGGACACGTCGGTGAGACAGGGCACGTCAGTGAGGCAGGGCACATCGGTGAGGCAGGGCACGTCGGTGAGGCAGGGCACGTCGGTGAGATAGAACACGTCGGTGAGATAGAACACGTCGGTGAGACGGGGCACGTCGGTGAGGCGGGGCACGTCGGTGAGGCGGGGCACGTCGGTGAGGCGGGGCACGTCGGTGAGATAGAACACGTCAGTGAGGCAGGACACGTCGGTGAGACGGGGCACGTCGGTGAGGCGGGGCACGTCGGTGAGGCGGGGCACGTCGGTGAGGCAGGACACGTCGGTGAGATAGAACACGTCGGTGAGATAGAACACGTCGGTGAGGCAGGACACGTCGGTGAGGCGGGGCACGTCGGTGAGGCGGGGCACGTCGGTGAGATAGAACACGTCGGTGAGGCAGAACACGTCAGTGAGACAGGACACGTCGGTGAGACAGGACACGTCGGTGAGACAGGGCACGTCGGTGAGGCAGGGCACGTCGGTGAGACAGGACACGTCGGTGAGACGGGGCACGTCGGTGAGGCGGGGCACGTCGGTGAGACGGGGCACGTCGGTGAGACGGGGCACGTCGGTGAGGCGGGGCACGTCGGTGAGGCAGGACGCGTCGGTGAGACAGGGCGCGTCGGTGAGACAGGACACGTCGGTGAGACAGGACACGTCGGTGAGACAGGGCACGTCGGTGAGGCAGAACACGTCGGTGAGGCAGGGCACGTCGGTGAGACGGGGCACGTCGGTGAGGCGGGGCACGTCGGTGAGGCGGGACACGTCGGTGAGATAGAACACGTCGGTGAGACGGGGCACGTCGGTGAGGCGGGGCACGTCGGTGAGACGGGACACGTCGGTGAGACAGGACACGTCGGTGAGACAGGGCACGCCGGTGAGACAGGACACGTCGGTGAGACAGGACACGTCGGTGAGACAGGGCACGTCGGTGAGACAGGGCACGTCGGTGAGACAGGGCACGTCGGTGAGACAGGGCACGTCGGTGAGGCGGGGCACGTCGGTGAGACAGGGCACGTCGGTGAGGCAGGACACGTCGGTGAGGCAGGGCACGTCGGTGAGACAGGGCACGTCGGTGAGACAGGGCACGCCGGTGAGGCAGGACATGCGAACGGGCAGCGTCTGCCAGTCCCTCTCGAGGGGGCATCTGCCTTGTACCACAGCAGTGCTGCCCCCAGAGAGAGGGAAGACCCAGGAGGACATCGCCTTCCTGGCTGGCCCGGCGGCCCCATCCCCAGACGCCGAGTCATCACTCACTGGACCCAGCACATTAGTTAAATACGCACAATTTTATTGATTGAAGAGATTAGGACAAAAACATTAAACCAAATACAGGACAAAGCACCAGAGGCCCCAGATTCCCACCATGCATGCCGACAATCTCTCCTCCTCCGGGGTTCTTAAAAAATAGGGGAGAGGGAAGGGGAACAGGTCCTCCTCCACACAGCACCATCTTCAGAGTGGAAACCTCTCTCCTCGATCTCTTCCGTCATCGATAGGATCCGGGGCAGGTCCATGGGCGCCGCGCCTCCGGACATGGACGGGAAGCCGCCTCGTGCGAGGGGGGCCGGGCTCCTGCTGGGCGGGCTCGAAGCATCCACGGTCTGCACACACATGCCACGTACTACAATGGAGCACAGATTCAAGTAACATTTACACACTACAGTCCACGTGTTACCTACCCCAAAACAGGACCATTTCACAAAACGTGTACAGGCAGTCAAATCCAAACAGCTGAGGTACTGGGAACAAATATTTATGCCAAAAGAGTTCTGTATCATACAGCAAGAGAAAAGCCGTTAATAAAACAAACAAACAAACAAAACAAAAAAAAATAAACATTGGCCACTCAAAATCAAATAAAGCTATCTAGAAAAGGCAAAGGAAAGGTTATTTCAGGGACAGAAATACTCAAACAAGAAAAAAAAAAATATATATATATATATAAATGTTAACGACAGCATGTAACATGTCATCCCAAGTCAACCCGTAATTGAAGTACTGGCTTAATACATCACAATGTGACATTTTCCTTAATAAATAGAAGAGTTCTTGATGATACAAAGGTGCGTATTGGGATAGAGAGCTGTTTTTATTTATATCACCCTAGCTTTCAGCCGATTTTCTTTCCCACTTGTCTCTACCGAGGGTTTTTGTCCAAAGCAGAGGGCCTTCCAAGCCACACGGATCATTCGTAAAGAAAACGAAGAAGCTGCCCTGTATTTTATACATGTTGGACAACATGTATAACATGCTTTGCCCCACTAGCCTCCAATGAAACAAAGATAAAAAGGTTTCGTTGAGAGCCCGGGTTTCAGACCCCACAGCCACCACCAGGAACGCCTGTCAGGGAAACCTCCTCGTTCAGAAGAGAAACACTGGGGAGTCGAACGCCTCTTCTCCTTCCTTTTTCTTTCTTTCTTTCTTTCTTTAAACTATGATAGCAGTAATGCATCTGGAAGTTTGACTTCTAATAGCTTCCTGCCACAAACCAATCGACGCAAAACAGAATAGCTTATTAAAGGACCGATTATTTTTTCCCCCCCTTCAGGGAGCACAGAATGAACATGTCATTTCCTGCCCGGCACATGAGATCGTTTCTTTAGAAGAAATGAGTCGGAGAGAGCGATTAAGACACACACACTGGACTTTGATTTTCTGTAGCGTAGCACCCAGGTCTCAGGTCAGTCTGTGTGCACCGAATTGTTTTTGAAGTGAACGGTAATTACCAGATAGGTGGTTGGCTTGTTTCGCAAGAAAACAAAAACAAAACCAAAACGAAAAAGGAAAAGAAACCCTTGGCCGGTTGTACCTTCCCTGAATCACGACAAGGAGTTAAATGCTAACAGTGCAATGCCAAGATGCTGTTTGAGGCAGAGGTTGATTCTGTGGGGACCTGTGACTACTTCTGAAGGAAATGCAAAGTGGGCGGAGCCAACTGACAGGGTGGTCCCTGGGGCCACATTGGGGAGGAGAAACTCCAGGGGGCTCCCACCCCCTGACCCGACCCCTGAGCCTGACCCCGCCCCACACCTCTGGCCCCCCGTGCGACATGTTCCATCAGCTCCTTGAAGGTTTTCCTTCTTTGAACCAAGAAACCTGTGAGTGTCTCCTCCACCAAGCCAGGTGACATGTGTCCCTGGCAGGACCCCTTTCCACTGCCCTCTGCCACTCCTGGCACCAGCTCAGTCTCGGGGGGTGGGGGGGTGAGCTCAGTTAAAGAACGGGTCCAAGTTCTCCTCCATGTTGACGTCCGGCACCAGCTGATCCGACACCTCCTTAGCACCGTATCCTGAATTCGAGACGCTAAAATCTGTAGAAAACCAAGGATGGTCCAGAATTTCCTGCGAGGTCAGCCGCTCCGAGGGCTCCCGCCGCAGGATGCTCCGGATGAGGCACTTGGCCTTGGGCGACAGGGTCTCTGGAATGTTGAACTGGCCACGCCGGATCTTGCTGAAGAGGGAGCTGGGCTCAATGTCATGGAAGGGGTACCGCCCCACCAACATGGTGTACAGCATCACGCCCAGGCTCCACACATCGGCCGCTTTGCCCGAGTAGCTGCCACTAGTGTTCAGGATCTCGGGGCTCACGTAAGCCGGGCAGCCGTGCTTATCAGAGAGGGAGTCGTCGTCTCCCCGCAGAATGTAGGCATCTTCCAGGCTTTCCAGCTTGACCCGGGTCCTGCAAGAAAGGGAGGAAGACATGAGCTCCGACGGCTGCGCTGAAACGTCAGAATGCCCTCGTTAGCCACAGCTCCTGCTAGGATTCCAACGACTCGTCCGTCACTCGTTCATTCATTCAGCCAAACATTACCTACTGAGCACGGTGCAGGTGCCTCTCTTCCAGGGAACACAAGAGGGAGCAAGACTGACGTGGCCTTTGCCTGCGGCTTAACATCTGTTAGGGGGCTCGCACCTTCAGCAAGTACACACGCCATGAACACCATCGTCACCCCGCCTTAGTGCGGAGGGAACAAGAAGGTCAGTAATTTGCCCGGAGTCACATCCGAGGAATGACGGGGGCTCACAAAATTGGAACTCAGCTCCGACCAGCTGGGAAGCCTACAGAAGCTCTGTCCGCCGCATCGGACAAACTTCTAGCTGCATAAGTCTGAAAGGGCCTTTCACACGGCCCGACGGCATGGTGGCCTCGGCAGACGTGGAAGGTGTGACTGTCCTCGTTGACAGAAAGAACACTGAGGCTCAGGGTTTGAGGACCTTGCCCAAAGCCTTTTAGCTGGGAAATAGAGAAGACCTGATTTCACGTCTTCCTAAATCGACCATGGGCACGAGTGGGTATGTGTGCATGTTTGTGTGCATGCTTGTGTGCGTGTGTGTGTGCGTGCTTGTGTGCGTGGGTGTGTGTGCGTGCTTGTGTGCGTGGGTGTGTGTGCGTGCTTGTGTGCGTGTGTGTGTGCGTGCTTGTGTGCATGGGTGTGTGTGCGCGTGCTTATGTGCGTGGGTGTGTGTGCGTGCTTGTGTGCGTGTGTGTGCGTGCTTGTGTGCGTGTGTGTGTGCGGGCTTGTGTGTGTGGGTGTGTGTGTGAATAACAGCATGAGCCCAAGATCCTTCCTAGACTGTCACCCTGTTCCCAAGCTCCCCCTGTTATCTGAGGACCACAGGGCTGGCTGCTGAGAAGGCTCTCCGGGGTGTGCTGGGTAAGAATACAAGTGGAACAATCTCATTAAACTCTGAGTCCCTGGAATCTAGCCCTCGTCCTTATAGGACAGGACTTGGTATCATCACTGGGTATAAAATAAAGTAAGCACTCAGTAAATACGTTTGGAAATGAGTGGAATTCTTATCATTAACTATACCTAATTTCCAGGGACTGGAGCTGAGGACCAGGACGTGACTTGTTCAAGACTGAGGTCTGGCCCTGGCCGGTTTGGCTCAGTGGTTAGAGCATCGGTCCAGGGACCAAAGAGTCGCGGGTTCGATTCCCATCAAGGGCACATATCTCAGTTGTGGCTCAGTCCCCAGCCCTGGACAGGGTCGTGCGGGAGGCAATCAATCGATGTGTCTCTCTCACATCGATGTGTCTCTCTGTCTCCCTTCCACTCTATCTGAAGATAAAATGGAAAAATATCCTTGGGTGAGGATTTAAAACAAAAGACTGAGGTCTGCCCCCAACCGGGCACCCTAAGCTCCTAGCCCAACGTTCTCTGCTGGGCCCAGGAGCCTCCTGAGAATTCCTGTTTCCTTTACCCTGCCATCCTTTCAGGGGAAAATTAAGAACTCCTACCTTTCGGTGCTTACGACTGAAATCCCCCTTCTGCTCCCCGGCCCCATAAACCCACTTAATCCCCTCCCATCACGCTGATTAAGACTTGCCACAAAGGCGACATAGAACAGGCAAGAGGGACTAGAGCTAGGCTTAGAACCTCATAAATATCACCAACGGGGTCCTAAAAGGTCTGCATCCATCACATCAGTGGGTTCCTTCATCTGAAAAGTGCACATCGAAGCATCTACCCTGTTGCCCCCGGTGCCCTGAGGCTCAAATGAGCAGAGGATAGACAAGTGCTTGGAAAACCCACAAGGCTTCAGTCCTAAGTCATAACGTGTGGACTCGGGCCGTCCACTGCTATTTCTCTCCCTCGCTCCTACTGCGGGGCTTAGCCTTTTACCCCGACGGCCCCAGAAGGCAGGCGAGGCTCAAATTCATGCAGGGAGAGTTGCTGGGAGCAACTCATAAAGTCTCAGTTGACTCTGAGAGCACATATTTGGATGACAAGAGTTTCACAGACCAAGGAGTGACCGTTTGCCTGTAGTCATTTCCATCAATGGGCAAGAAACGATGTGGTCCAGAGAACAGGGCAGCATCGGAGCCGGGGGAGTGGAGTGAGGTCTGACATCCCCTTGCTGTGTGGCTGCGGAGGAGTTGCCCAACCTCTCTGTTTCTCGGCCTTAAAGAGGAGTGAGTGTTGAACAAGGTACTCTTTCTCTGTTTTGAACTTTAATGTATATATATTTTTTTATTGTGGGAAGACATAAGATACAATTTCCCATTTTAACCATTTGTAAGTGTACGGTTCATCAGCGTGAAGTACATTCTCATTACTGTGCACATATCTGAGCGAGAGTCTTACGTCTCTGCCAGACGGAACATCCTGGGGCTCTGTAATGCAGAGCAGAGTATCTTTTCTATTTGCTCCCCCATGCGCTAGAGTCATTTTGGAACCCACGATCTCCTCCTCCCCCAATAGTAACGATCCATACAAATAGGAGGGGCCTAGACATGCTAATGAGGAGTCGCAGTGATTAAACACACAGCTCCCTCTTCCTCTGCTTCTGCTCATCTAGGGAGGCAGGGGGTGCTGACCCACAGCGCCCCCTCTGCATGCCCTGAGTTGGAGGTGAGTCAGTGGAACCCAAGGCGGAGGGGGAGGAGCGCAAACCACAGGCGCAGTGGGTTCTCTCCACAGCTTCCTCCACCCACTCTCAGCCGCACACTCTCCCGCTGAGCTTCAGGGGGACCAGGCTCCTCACCTCCCGGTCACTGTCTTTCTCGGCAGCAGAGAAGCTGGGAATATGCATCGCAGAGGAAATCAGTGATGATGATAATAAGCCTACCCATCTGTGTGACAGGGGACAGTCCATCGGAAGGAGCACTAAACTGGAGTCAGAGGCTCACGTTTGGGGCTGGGTTCCTCTGTCACATCTCACCCAGGCGGGGCCAACATCCTGGCCGAGGCTGCGGCGACTCCAGGCATCTCGGCCTGTCTTCCCGCACCTGTCTCCCCGCCAGCACAGGTCCTGGAGCGCACAGCCAGCCCCAGCAAGGGTCCTGGAGCGCACAGCCGGCCCCAGCCCTCTGGGCCTGCGCACAGCGTCTTCCCCGCCCCCGCCGAACGCCCTTCCCCGGACTCACAGCTCACTCGGCTCACCCATCCTGCGTGAAGGAGCACCCGCCCCTGCTCCGCGTCCTCGTTGCCACCTGAACGCCACGTGTTTCTTTTCCTACACGTATGTCTGTTTACTCTCTGCATTACTCCGGTGGCCACCTCATTCCTCCCCTACAGGAGCCTGCGGTCAGGTGGCTGAGGTCACCTTGTACAGAGAGGGTGCCACCTGTTTACTGTCAGACCTTCGGCACCTAAACTAATACCTGGCACGCAGCACTCGGCCCAGGACCGTCACGCAGGTCAGCCCTCGGAGCTCTGTGTGCCCAGCTTTAAAGGAACAAGGGCCCGGTCCTGCCTCTGGGTGAGTGGGATCCAGCGAAGGTCCGTAGAGGGCAGGTGCCAGGCACCTTCCAGGGACAGACTTCAGCCCCTCAAGCTCTGTGCTGAGGCACAGCTAACCCGGTCACTGTTATCCCAGGGCAGGCCACACCCCCAGGCTCCCCTTCACCCCTGTTCCCCCACCCCTCCCGTCTCCGAGCAACAGTGACCACACCTGCATCCTAATCTCCCTCTGCGTCCTTCTCCCGATCACAGAAGGGCCGTAGGAAATGGAAAAAGGCCTCTCCCATCGGTTAACCCCCTCCCTGGAGCTCACCTCTGCCCCCCACCTGGAGACAGGACTCGGCAGATACCTAAGGAACGGAGAGGGAAGTGGAAAGAGCCCCATGAGCTGCGGCTCGGCTCGGCTGCCCCCAAGCTTGCCCATCGCCGCTGCTGCTGCTGCTGCTGCTGCCTTCGGAGGCAGGGCTTCAGCCCCCGCCCACCTGTCACATCCGCGTGGAGTGTGCTGGGGCGGGAGCCACAACCAGGTCAGTCCAGGCACCGAAGATCCAGCATCACCTGTGGCGCTGAACGTGTGCTAGGCACTTACATCGGTTTTCTTTTTAAAGTTCATTAAATCAGCTTGCAAAGCAGAAGTGATCACTGCTTCATGTGGACCCTGAGCCTAAGGCTCAGAGGGGCTGGGGGAGCCCGTGAGGCTAGTTGGGGACCCAGCAGCCTCTCTCGGGGCTCTGCACCTGAGGGAGGAAACCACACCATGGCAGGGCAGTCGCGGAGGCTCCATCCAGGTGGGCAGCGCAGGTGCGCCCAGGTTCAGGACCAGCCAGCCTCGGGGGCAGGAGCCGCTCCTTCCACGCAGGAGCACATGCATCCCAGGCCGGGGAGGGGAGAGGGCAGGAGAAGCCTGGAAAAGGACGCGGAGGAAGCGGCAGCGCCGGCGGTGTGACCTTGCCTGCTTCTGGGAACATCCTGAACTTGTTTACATCACTCCTAGGCAAGGGTCGAGGCGGCGGTCTGGATTACGTCTTCAGACAGGACCTTCCAGGGCGCGCAAGTCAGGGACCCGAGGCCGGGCTGCAGTTCCGGTCCGGTCCAGTCCCCACGGACTTGTTACGCAAGGAAGGTCCCTGGGGTTGACTGCCCCTCTGGGAATGGGGGCCACTGCCTTCTCCTCTACAAAGTATCTGTACGGTGTCTGCCGGAGAGCCTAGCACTAGGCAGCACTTGGTGGGCGCTCTGACCGAGTTTCCTATTAAGGGAAGGTCCCACCTTGGACCCCAGAGCCTTCGTGGAAGGCAGGTGAAGAGCCTCAGGCAGATGGACCTGGATGCGAATTGTGTGCCCAGATCCCTTCCTGTGCTCTCTGCACGAGTGTTTCCCCGACCCGGAGTTTTCCTCCCCACGCATGTGCCAGCTCAGTCCTGCCCACTTTATTCAGCCCTGATGAGGGTCTTCGGATGGGCTTCCTGGAGGTGGTGGCACATGAGAAACA